CCGATGGCCGGTGGGGAGACGGGGGCCTGAGCTCAGGTGACACAGACGCGCGCCGACAGTTCGCAGGAAGCGGGACGTGCGCACGGGCCTGGCCATTTGACGTCTCCTCCTCCTCCTCACCACACCCCTGACTGCTGCACCTGCTACCAGGTAGCAAAGCCACCTTCTCACATACCAGAGATTCGGAAAGGGCCGTGTGCGACCTGGGAACCACAGCCGGGTCGTCCCCAAGCGTGGCCAAAAGCATGAGAGCGAGAAGCTCGTGAGGACTCAGCAGCACGCGGCACGCTGCCGAACGCTTTTCTCAAAGCCCGGTCCGTAGCTGCTCTGAGTGGAGCTGTGTCCCCCGAATTCCAACCCTCGGAGTGTGACCGTACTTGGACACAGGGTCTTCACAGAGGCGAGTAAGCTAAAACAGTGGCCCTAATCCAATGTGGCCAGCGTCCTTATGAGAGGGGACGAGGACACAGATAGGCACAGAGGGCCAACCACGTGAGGACGGAGGGAGGAGACAGACGAACCCTGCTGACGCCTGAGGAAGTAGCTCCCCACTGCTTCCGGCTCCCGGGCTGCGGGCCCAGCAAATGCAGACGGCGGCCGGGGCACAGGGTCCACGTGGGGAGACAGGGCTCAAGGCCGAGGAGAACCCCGGTTTCCTGGTCTCCCCACCACACAGCTTCAGATACCGGTGAAGCTGACGCACAAGCTACAGACACCACTGGCTTCACGGTGGCCCTGCCATCGACCCTCTCGCTTCCCGGCGTGTGTGTCATGACGCCACGTCCTTCGTGCCCACTGTGCACAGGACGAGCATCTCGTCCAGGCCACACAACCCACCTGGCCAAAATTCAGAGTCCCCCAGGTCAAACCTCTTTAGGTGAGCATGTCCCAGAGGGTCCCCCAGACCCCCGTCACCTGAGACCCACCTGCTCGGCACCTCAAAGGTCCTGCTCACCACCAGCCGGTCGCGTCTTCTTGGATTTAAAAATACCGTCCAGTTCTGAGTGACCTGTGAAGTCGAAGGGTGAAATCACGGTCGGGCTTGGGACTTGAACCGCAGTCAGGATCCGGCGCCGTTCAGGGCAGGGGCTTATTACAATGAGACAAGGACAGAGGGAGGCCGCAAGGCCTTTCACGTGGTCCCACGTGGGGACGCGTCCAGGCTGAGCACAATCTGCCGTGAGGAAAGGGACCTGTGTGTGAGACTTGGACTCTGAGCCACCGGGCACCGCAGGAGGAACGCCTGCGGAGAGCCGCTTCCCGCAAACTGGGGTGAGCGGGGAGAGCCACGGGGTCTCGACCTCTCCTGAGCAGGGCCAGATGCAAACAGAGAGGGAGGGGCTGGCTGGCCAAGGGACCAGGCGACATTCGATGGCATGGGCATGTCCTCGTCCCATGGGAAGGCCCAGGTTCGCCTGCACCCCAGCACTGAGGCCACTCCCAGTCAGAACTCGCGGGCATGAGTTTACTGTAACCCACTGGGGAAAGCGGCAGGCGCATGCTGGCCTCATGACAGTGGCCCTGCCTCGCGGCCCCCAACAGACCCACTCAAGGACACTGAGCTCACGAGGAGACGAGGTGGGATTCGACTGGGGAGTGTGACCTGCTGCGGCCGCCGCCGCCTGGAGCCTGGAGCGTCGGTCCGCGTCACCTCCACCACCACGCGCTCCGCGCTCTCGGGCCGCGGGCT